TGGTGCATGGCATCGTGCCCTAATGCAAATTGCTAGAACTTCATGCACCGTAATTAAAATTCAAGTAATGACACTAGTGAGAATTATCAGAATTATGCTTGGTTAAGTCAACGAGCAATTCTTGCCGCAAAGAATAATGATGTACACGCACTGAATTTCAGCATTAAATCAAAAATTGCTGGCGATTTGGTGACATATCAATGATTCCGACTGGTCTTCCGTTTGACTTCAAACGATTGCAATTACAGTTTGCCTTGCGTTCGCAAGAGCAATCGCTTAGTGTTTGCGGGATAAATTTCAAATAGATTATTTTTTCACATGGACAGTTATACGTTGCCTATTCACGAGTTGGAAAACCATTCGCTTTGTTTGTGTTAGCGTCAGACCAAAAAACAAAAATGTGGTTTACCAAAAAGCACTTAATGAAACGGATAATTTGCGGATTCACTTTCATTTACTTAGAGAAGTTCAACTAAAAAAACACTTCATTATTGTAATCGAAATAAATTCATTACTGTTTTATAATAAAATCAAATTTTTCCTTTTCAAATATAAAACAAACAAAACAATTCTTCATCTTTCTCACGAAACCATCTGGTGGCGAAACGGAGTTCGTCGGGTTTGCTAGTATATATATATATAAAGAGTATATATATATATATATATATATATATATATATACTAGCTGACCCGGCAAACGTTTGTTTGCTAAGTGAGGGTATATTCTAATCAATTTCTAGAGAATCAAAAACATTAATACTTTAGGTGTATAAGAATGTGTTGTTTGAATGCTATATACAATGAGGCATTATAAAAACAAAAAATCCTATTAGTTTGTCTGTATTTTGTCAATACAATCAAACTGGAAGTTTTATACACTTTCTATAGAAACATGGTATAATTCAATCCAAGTCTTTTTTGGTCTTCCGAGTTATTGATTACCTTTCAAGTTTTCAGATCCTTTTTGGATGTTGGATTTGTGTATAATTGTAAATAATACTACTGAGCTTATACAAAATTTTCAAATATCTGCGAGGAGAGATAGAAAATGAATTAAGTATTTTCTTTTGGCCTGCTTTTTGAAAAGTTTCAAGTAACATTCGATAAATTTAATTTTACAATTTTTTTAAATTTTTCATAACTCGACGTTTCATCAATTTTTTGTTTCATATTTATTTTTTCGTGCAATTTCGTGTGTTTTTGTGTTTTTTTCAAATTTATTTATTCACAATATATATTTGTTTCAAAACTAATTTATTAAATTGGTTATTTATGTTGTTTTACATGTTTTTATTTATTTTTGTCTGTAATTATGTATTTTTTATATTGTTTTCAATTGTAACCCTGAAATATTTAATTATAACACTGAAGATGGGTCAAATCAAGACCCGAAACGTATGTTCTCTGAAAAAAACATTTTCCTTCAATAAAACTGTTTTTAATTACTGGATGAATGCCCAAGAAACAATATAAATATATATATATATATAAATATATATATATATATATATATATATATCTACTTATATCTCTTCTATATCTAAGAAGTTTGTTCATTAGTGCAACATATTTATGTCCTGGTTTTAGATTACACCTGTAGAGACCGTCCGCCTCTAACTTTCCTCCACAAGTGCAAAGAGTGTCACCCACCAAGATCGTCACTTCACACGGGACCAGCGTCACGTCTCATCTCACTAACGTGACATCATCTCACACCACAAACGTCACGTCACTTGTTATATGAACCAGTGCGATGTCGTAGACTTTGGTAGTAAATCCAAACAGGATAAGGAATTGTTGGCGAATAATTTACCAAAGAAGAACTGTCGGACGTGAAGGTAATATTTATTGGAATATTTAATAAGTATTAAATTATATATCTTATATATAAAAATGGAGCTCTCTTTCAAATGTCCGAATAAAACTCGAAAACGGCTGAATCGATTTGGCCAGTCTTAGTCTTGAAAAATTCGTGCCAATCCAGAGATTGTCCAAAAGGTGAGAAATTATTTCAAATCCGCGTAGAAACTTTACATTTTTAATTTGAAATTTTTGTAGAAGCGTAATCTAAATAAAACAATGGAAGGTTGCTAATCCGTGAAATGTCAAACGTTTTTGACAGATGATGTTCAATTACATTCAATAGGATATTTTACGTGAATATTATTTAATTATAATTAAATTGTAGTAAGTATTTTGTTTGTAGTTTTGTTTTTGTAGTTTTATTTATATATATAAACGTTAGTAAACGGGCCGCAAGTGTTATTAGAGACTGAAAATGCACTTTATGCATATTTTTCTCAAACACGGTGCTCTGAAAGATCTCATTTGTATAATTATATACTCATTGGGTATTTATAAAACATTTTCCAGGTTATATTATTTTTTATTAATGTTATTTAATTCAGAACCTAAATTTGGTATCAATCAAAGGGACATTTTGTCGAATAACATTTTCCCAGTTATAATTTTGCAGAATTTATCGAAGAATATAGAAATATATGAAGGTCCGGGGTTAAAAAGGTCCACCACCGATGTGTCAAAACCAGTAAAGTTAAGCATTGTTTAACAACTATTTGAAAGTAGAGGGAAAAGATGTATAACAAAAATACGGGGCCCCCGAGCCAAGGGCCCCCAACGATCGCAAGCAGAAAGCAAAACTACAATTTTTTAAAAATTTATTAATTTTAACGTAGTTTGCATTTTCTTTTTTTATCGAGAGGTTGCACTTCAACTTGTAAGCTATTGCTTTTAGGGGCACAACTAGTGTGAAATTTCGAAAAAATCGTTTTTTGTTTTTTTTTCATATTTCGGTAGATTGCACCTTTAAAAATAATATATAAAAATTTCAAATTGATATCTCAAATAGTTTTTGAGTTACAGCCATTTAAAAAGTATATATATAGTATATAGTACAACGATCATTTCATCTTTAAACGCGTTTTTCTCGAAACAGCATTTTCCGAATTTGCTGCAGTGATTACTCAAAAACGAATGATCCGATCACTATCAAATTTTTTTATATGTTCTATATATAGTTCTCCGTAAAATGAACTATCGACTTTTTGATCGAATCAAAAATCGAATTTTGGCAGTCGAAAAACGACCAAAATTTTGGGTAAAATTCGACTTTTTTTGTTTAAAACGCTGCCATTTTGTCAATTTTGATTTTTTTTCTTTATCGTAGTTCATTTTATAGGCAATATAATCTAGTTTAACGAGAATTATTTTTTTTTATTTCATCCACGTAGAAGGCCGGAATCACTGCAGCAGTGAAGGGCCTTTTTTTGTCGCGCCGTTGGAGATCGACGATAACTTAAAAAATATTTAATTGTTTTTTTCAAAAATTTTACTATGTATTCTTAAAACATGTATAAATATATTCCTAAAATTTTGAAATGATTGATAAAGTAGTTTTTTTAATATAAATTCCCAAAAATCACCTTTTTTTAGGCGGTTACACTAGTTGTGCCCCTTAAGAGAATTTATTCTGCTGCAATATTTTTACAAGCTCTAGCAATCAATTCAATTAGTAAAGCTTTTCCACATTCGATAAGTTAACAAATCTATAAAACTAATTCAGATTATACATTCTTCATTGAAAATTGGAATTTGGAATGTTTATATTTATATTTATATTGTTTTTTGTATTTTGTTGTTATTACTTGAATTCTCTGCATGACGCGTCAGTTTAATAGTTAGTTAGACTTTGATAAATATGATCAACTAAATCATTTTCAGATATCTTTCTTCACTGTTTGAAAATATAAGTTTATGTTCCAAAACCTTATAACACGCCAGTAATGACTTACAAAAAACTAGTATTTTATTAGGTAATCTCTTGAATAGACTGTGCGAATTATCATATGAAAATTTATTGAAATAGTTTGTTGAAGTACAAATAATTTGCAAAAAAATGGATTGCAATAACTATTTTAAAGAATAAAATACAGAACAAAATATAGAACAAAATGATAATGAAGCGTTATTATCACAAGATTAGAGAATTTTAGACCCGATATCTTATTTTAATGTACGTGGTCTGTTCAAAAAGTACCCGGAATTACTAATAATTAAATTTCGCGGGTCTGGAGTGTCTGATTGTCAAAATTTTTTTTTTTATTGTGTTGGTATACATGCCCCTAAAGTATGATGAAATTTTCAGCTATATTCACTGTTTACTTTGTCTGTGGTAGTCGCTAAGGTTCGACGTGTTTTCTGAGCTCGGCGATTTTTACAATGGAAGAATTGAAAAGTCAAAGAATTTGTATTAAATTTTGCGTAAAAATGAAATAAAGTGTTGCAAAGTGCAAAAATTCACCAGATATGGCTCCGTGTGACTTTTTCCTATTCCCAAAGTTGAAGAGACCCATGAAAGGACGGCGGTTTTCCTCGATTGAAGAAATAAAGGCCGAATCGCTGAGAGTGCTCAAGGACATATCAAAAGTGAATATCAAGGGTGCTTCGAAAATTGAAAAAAACGCTGGCATAAGTGTATTATATCTGGGGGGACTACTTTGAAGGGGACCACATTAATGTAGACGAATAAATAAATATTTTATATTTATATACGAAATTCCGGGTACTTTTTGAACAGACCACGTATACTATTGCTGTTTGGATATATTAATTTCACAAACCAAACAAAGATTTCAAACCTGTAAGTAGTAACATTTGTATTTTTGGAATCGAGAGTTAATAAAAGTTTACGGAAAACTGTCGACTGAATTACTGTACCTAAAGAAATATTGTAAAATATCTCATATGATTATGACCAATTGATAGTTCTAGAAATAGGTTTGAATACAGAAATCTAAGAAATTTATTTCGTCAAGGTACAATGATGGATGCAATAGGCTTGCATCCAGTTTTCCCAACGAAATAACAGTATGCATTTTTTCTTGGCCCTTAATTACAATTAACAGTTAAAATCGCAACTGCTAATTTTTTTAAAAAAAATTAAAACTAATTAAAAATTACGTAAATACTTTAGGACATAAATGTCTACCAGACCTGTATGTTCCTAGAGACAGAAACTTTATAAAATTTAAAGATCACTAAACAAGTCAGTTTCTCAAAAAAAAGGTAAGGAGAGTGAAAATATATCTGAAATCATTTGTGAAAAATTATTGAAATTAGATAGATAAATAATTAGAATGATAAATAAATATTCTTTTAATTTTATGTATTTCTATATTTTGGGGGGCCCCAAACAAATTTTGATACGGGATATTTATGAAATGTGAGTTTTTGTTATCATATGTTGTTTTTTCTTTAGCAAGTTGAGTATGAGAATATACAATCAGGCGAACCAAAAAAGCAGGAATCGAAGTCTGTGGTTTTGCCCAGGAGACATCAGTCGTTGAACGATGTGCCGAGTACGCAGGACGTCGATAGGGCTTCGATGGATTTTGAAAATTTGGTCGAGTCTGACTTTAATTTTGAGACTGATGATGCGTTTTACGAGCCTGGTGAAGTGCCAGTTGATGAAATAGGTAATTGAATAATAAGATAGATTAATTAGTGGTATATGGCATTGTGCCTTAAGGCAATTGCTGGAACTTCCCGTACCGTAATGAAATATTCGAGAAATTTTAAACGTTTTCAAATATATTATTACAAATACTGTAATTGTTTCATTGTTTTTGCCATCTTGTTATATCTGAGCAAATCAAATTTAAATCATAAAAAAAACTAGTTGGTTTGGTATTTAGCCTTGAGGCAAGTTACATGAACTTCCCGAAATGTGTAAATAATCGACTTAATCAATAAAAATAAATAAATTTATGAGTTATTATAAGTATTCCGAGTGGATTTTTTACACATAATTGAAAACGAACGAACACTTTGAGTCGGAGTATTTTCTAAAAGCAAATTTTCAAAAATCAATAATTTTTATAATTGAACCAGTTTCCAGGACTTTAATGGTTTATTATGTTCAAGACCAAGTACTTTGTCATTATACCAAATAAATAGTCTAATTTTAATTTTAACAAATGTCAAAAGAATTACTCATTTTCTCAAACTTTGATGAATTTTTAAAATCATCACTAAAAAAAATTCCATCAAATCGGCTTCAATTTTTGTTTCAACAGTTAATTACAAGAAAACGGCTCGGTAGATTTTCACCTAAAACTGAGAAACGATAATCCTCATCGAGATGCATCAAATGGCTTTTAAATTTCTGAAATCGGTTCAGGCGTTTTTGAGAAAACGTCGATGAAAGTTCTAATTTTGACAAATGCCAAAAAGACCATACTAATTTTTGCAAACTTTGACAAATTTTAAAGCTAAACGAGTTGTCGTATGGCCATAATATTTTAGTATAATCTAGAAGATAATGGTATCTAACGCCAAAAAATAATCATACAAATCGTCGAATTTTTTTTTAAACTTTCTAAAAGGCAAAAAAATTGTTCACATACACGCACATACACACACACACACATTGTTTTTATTTAAATTTGTTCTTATTCGATTCAGAATAGCTTGAAACGTCGAGAAAACATAAAATTAGCGAGTCGGATTTTTTTATGAAAACATAAACTTCTCACTCGGGAAGTTAATAATTATTTCAAAATCAGTATTTGATACTATTTTGATTTAGGAGGCAAAAATTTTGCATCCAAACATCACTTCAAATCCAACGACGTCGCTATGGTGAGATAAACTGCCACATTGTCAATTTTTCACCGAAAGTATTTTTTGATTTTGAGTACTATTGTTTAGTTTACAATATCTTTAAGTATATGTTATTTAATTGTAATAATTATAAGATGTATTGTTAATTTTAAGTTAACAATAAAAAGAATATAAGTAGTTTGATTTTTATCATATTGTCATTCAGATACTGCAGTGTCTGCAGCAGCAAGACCCAGGCTGGCTTCGGCAGATGCTGCTGTTTCAGTTACCATACCAGGTGTAAATTTGGATAAAAATACTATTGCAGAGCATGATGTTAGCTGTGAAGATTTACTGGATTTTGCAGGTAAATAAAAATTTAACACAATATAGTAGAAACTAGTTGTAAGTGGCATTTTGTCAAGGCAACTTGCATGTAATTTGTGATATGGGTAACTAATCGATTTAAATAATAACTAGTGGGGTGTATGGCATCGTGCCTTAAGGCAAATTGCTGGAACTTCCCGTACCGTAACGAAATGTTTGAGGAATATTAAATGTTTTCATATTGATTGTTATATAAAATACTGTAACGTGGTCTAATATTTATAAGATTTATATAAACTGAATTGCAAAGTTGAAATAATTTGTTTATAGTATATCAGAACAGAATTAAAATTAATATCTGAACTATTTTCGATAAACAAAAAATTTAAAAAAAAAAAAAAAAAATAGGAACATTTTTTACAAAAGCAATTATTTTGTTGAAACAAGCAGAGTTCTTTGAATAATTCAAATCGGACGCTTAGTTCTCTCAAAAACTGCCATTTTTTGCTGGACCTGCCTTTGCCAGAAACTAATCAACATATCTCCCCATCATTTTTCATTTTCGATTTTCGACCCATTACAATAACTTACCCTACAGGAAATAATGTTTATTTTATACTATTTATACATTATTTTACATATTTGAGAAAAATATTTTATCCTAATTAACTTTTTCCTAATATTTAAATTCAATTTAAGAAATGTTTATATTTTATTGATCATTATTACATTTTCGACTATGAATTGCCATGGTTTTTCTTTGTGAATCAGCATGTGTCTTTGCAGACTATCGAATCGTGTGAATGTCTTATTACAAACATTACATTGATGAGGGCGTATTCCTTTGTGAATCAGCATGTGTGTTTTCAGAGTACTTGATTGTGTGAATGTTTTATCACAAACATTGCATTGATGAGGGCGTATTCCTTTGTGAATTTGCATGTGACGTTTGAGACTTCCTGACTCCGTGAATGTCTTATTACAAAAATTGCATCGATACGGGCGTATTCCTTTGTGAATCAGCATGTGTCTTTGCAGATTACCGAATTGTGTGATTTCTTATTGCATATACTGCATTCATGTATGCGCTCATCGTGAATGTCATATGTGTTTTCAGATTACATGATTGTGTGAATGTTTTATTACAAACATGCATCGATGAGGGCGTATTCCTTTGTGAATCAGCATGTGTTTATTCAGATGACATGATAGTGCAAATGTCTTGTTGCATATACTGCATTTATGGGGGCGTTCTCCGCTGTGCAAACGCATGTGAGTTTTGAGATAACCTCTTGCTTTGATAATCTTATGACAGATTTCGCATTTTAAAGAGCGTTTTCTGCTATTACTAGGCTTGTGATCGACCATATGCTCTTTTAATTGATCAGATTCTGCAAATGATTGATCACAAATGTCACATTCATAAACTGCTGGCTCGACTAACTCCTGTTTGACCTCTTCTTCGATAGTTACTTCACAGTTCATGAATCTTCCTAAACAGGTTTCATCATTCTCAGAATACGATTCAGATTTAACAATATCATCAGAAACATCAATATCATTCTGAATTTCTCGTTTAATGTCTTCTTCTGAATATTCTGGTGGTTCAATTTTAATTGCCGGATCATTCATTGACATAATTGCTTCTTCTGACATTGTTAAATATTTCAACTGCTTATACTCACTTACGAAATAATTGAAATGATTCCAAAATAGGCGTGGGCTAAATAATAACCTAGTTCTAGTTTAATCAACAATCCTTTTCAATATCATTTCCACAACTGATTTCAACTTAAATTAAATTTATTATTTGACATTTGGAGCATAGACCATAGAGTATACTTACAGAAAGATGAGACACTTCTCATATCGCTTTCACATTTAACAATGGCGCGCATTTTCAAATTCATTATGTTTCTCATGTCTAAACTATTTTATTAAATAATATTAATTTTACAAACGTTTCGAGACTAGGTTTGTCTCATCATCGGTGTATTATAATTTAAAATTTTAAGACCATTTAAATAAAATTTCCAGCAGCAGAAAAACAGAATTAAATACAAAAAATATAAACCAATAGAAAGTATACACAAATAAATTGTAATAAAAAATTAAATAAATAAATAGAAAATTACATAGATAGATAAATAGATAATAAGATAACTAACCAGAAAAATAACTAGTTGAATACATAGATAAATACTAATACTAAATAAGTAAATATAAATAAATAAGTAGATATAACTAAATAAGTACATAAATACATATATAAAATAGTGGGGTGTATGACATCGTGCCCTAAGGCAAATCGCTGGAACTTCCCGTACCGTAACGAAATGTTCGAGGAATACTGAATGTTTTCAAATAGATTATTATAAATATTGTAACATTGTTTAATATTTATAAGAATTATATAAACTGAATTGCAAAGTTGAAACTATTTGTTTAAAGTATATTAGAACTATTGTCAGAATTAAATATAAAATCTGAATTATTTTCGATACGCAAAAAAATTTTTTTTGAAAAAAAAAGTTGAAACAAAAATTTTTTTTTCAAAAGCAATTATTTTGTTGAAACAAGCAGAAAGTTCTTTGAATCGTTTAAATCGGACACTCCGCTTTCTCTAAAACCCAATTGCCATTCGTTGCACTTTTTGCTCGGTATCTCCGAAACGACTGGACCTGCTTTTCCCAAAAACTTCAAACGCTAAAATTCTATTTCTCTTTTTTTCAGGAAGAAAACCCCCAGGACGTGCACGTGGCGTGGAATCAGACGAAGTCCGTATAATGAACAAAGTTCTAGGAAAAGAAGTAAATATACCGACCCATAATTAAATAATTTCTATAAACATTTATTACGATTTATATTTTTTTACAGATGACTCCAGAAGCTTGTCTGGTGTCATTGGAGCACATGGACTGGGACGTCCATCGAGCGATAAAATTAGCTCGTTTAAGACTTTTATTAAACAATTCAACAATTGCGACGACTGGTAATGTTGAATTGAAGACGGTTATTGATAATTTAAGCAACAAGGACTTGGTGAGTGCTT